CTTGTGGTTGAAAATGCTGATCTCCTTCGTCAGTTGGAAGAGGCTGAGAGTCAAATTGGTCAGCTTACAAAGATGAAGCTTTCTCTTACGAATCAACTCGACGACACCAGGAAACTTGCTGATGACGAGAGCAGAGTAAGTAAAGCATATGTATTTCCGAAAGATACGAAAAATACGAGAAATATATTTAACTGGTTTCGAATGTATCTCCGACAGATTTATTGAACATGTATTTTTGTCGAGGATATAATCGAAATCCGTTAAATAAATCTCTTGTATTGTGGAAACTTCATCTTCATACATGAATACGTGCCATTTTCAGCATTATTGCTATGAATACTATTATCATCATCAGGAAAGAGCAACGATCCTCGGCAAATTCCGTAACCTTGAACACGACATCGATGGTTTGCGCGAGCAGCTCGACGAGGAGAGCGAGGGCAAGGCCAACGTGATGCGACAGCTCTCCAAGGCCAACGCCGAGGCCCAGATGTGGCGGTCCAAATACGACTCGGAAGGCGTGGCCCGCGCCGAGGAGCTGGAGGCCTCGCGCCTGAAGCTGGCTGCTCGACTCGAAGAGGCCGAGGGACAGATCGAGCAACTGAACGGGAAGAATCTCAGCCTCGAGAAGACGAAGCAGCGTCTCTCTACTGAGGTTGAAGACATGCAGATCCAGGTAGAGCGGGCGCAGACCTTGGCAAATTCTGCTGAGAAGAAACAAAAGAACTTCGATCGCATCATTAGCGAGTGGAAAATGAAGGTAGATGACCTCTCTGCTGAACTGGACAGCTCGCAGAAGGAGTGCCGTACTTATTCAACTGAACTTTTCCGCGTTAGAGCTGCCTATGAGGAGAACCTTGACCAGCTTGACACGGTTCGTCGTGAGAATAAGAACCTTGGTGATGAGATCAAAGATCTGATGGATCAGATTGGAGAAGGCGGGCGCTCACTTCACGAGATCCAGAAGAATTCTAGGCGTCTCGAGATCGAAAAGGAAGAGCTCCAGGCAGCTCTCGAAGAGGCCGAGGCAGCGTTAGAGCAGGAAGAAAATAAGGTGCTTCGTGCTCAGCTTGAACTCAGCCAAGTACGACAGGAGATTGATAGGCGCATCCAGGAGAAAGAGGAAGAGTTTGATAACACTCGGTATGCTTTGGGTTTGTTTCGAAATATTCCATTTGATTATGTTGCAATTAAAATATGATTTCCATAGATATATATAATATGTGGAGGTGACAGCTGATTTTATCTTTTCCAGCAAGTGCCACCAACGAGCTATCGACTCCATGCAAGCTTCTCTCGAGGCCGAGTCCAAGAGCAAATCCGAGGCGCTGCGCATGAAGAAGAAGCTCGAGTCAGATATCAACGAGCTTGAAATCTCCCTCGACCACTCCAACAAGGCCAATGTCGATCTCCAGAAACACATTAAGAAGATCCAAAACGATATGAAGGACTTGCAAGTTCGCATGGAGGAGGAGCAGCGACTGTCTTCGGATTACCGAGATCAATATAACATGTCGGAGCGTCGCGCCAACGCTCTCCACGGTGAACTAGAGGAGTCGCGCACCCTTTTAGAGCAATCTGACCGAGGGCGCCGCCAAGCTGAGTCCGAACTGGCCGAAGCAAACGAGAATAACGCCAACCTCGCAGCTCAGGTTAACTCCATGACAATAGCAAAGAGAAAGCTGGAGGGCGAGATGCAGACCCTTCAGGTGAGTTTATTATATTGATATTTTCCTTTATTATTATTATTATTATTGTTATCATTATTTTATAATTTCAGCTTGATAATTTACAGGAGTGACGATGATCGTTGGATAATTTAATTGTAAAATGATTTACCTAAAGATGTTACGATATTCAACAAATTATCCTTAACCTCTTCAGGACATCCTTGCAACGAAAAAATTATGTTTTCCTTTTCATGTATCATCATTTTTATTCCTTATCTTCAGTTCTCTTTCAGCTGTAAACATATTTATCCATTTATAATTATAATTAAAGAGAGAATCAACATACGAAGTAACGACCATGTTTGTATTTTGTCCTTAAGGCCGACCTTGAGGAGATGTTGAACGAGGCCAAGAACTCGGAGGAGAAGGCCAAGAAGGCCATGGTTGACGCCGCTCGCCTGGCTGACGAACTCCGCGCCGAGCAAGAGCACGCCCAGAACCAACATAAGATGCGCAAGGGACTTGAAGCATCTCTTAAGGAGCTTCAGCTGCGTCTAGAGGAAGTCGAGGGCAATGCCATGAAGACTGGAAAGAAAGCAATTTCCAAACTGGAAAACAGAGTCCGTGAACTGGAGAACCAGGTTGATGATGAAGCCCGCCGCCCGACGACGCCAGAAGAACCTGAGGAAGTGCGAGAGGCGCATCAAGGAGCTCAGCTTCCAGTCCGACGAGGACAAGAAGAACCACGAGAGGATGCAGGACCTGGTGGACAAGCTCCAGCAGTGCAGGACCATGTGGACAAGCCCAGCAAGTGCTGAGGAGGAGCAGCG